CTCAAAATTCTGAAGGGAAGTCATCCTTAGAGGACATCCTTGGAACGTTCATTTCGGAAATAAGATCTCGATTCAACAAGGATGAGACACGTTTGGATAACATCGAAATGCATGTGACGAAAATGGGAGCCACAATGAAAAATCTAGAGGTTTAGATTGGACAGTTGGCGACATCAATGAAATCTAAACAACAGGGAAAGTTTCCAAGTGATACAGAAAGCAACCCATAGGAGCATTGTAAGACCATTATACTGAGGAGTGGGAAACAGATTGGAGAGAGTATGCCCGAAGAAGTAACAAATCTTACACTTGATACAGAGACAGATCAAGTAGCAATAGAACAAAATGCTGTAGAAACACAGAAGGCTCACAAGCCTTACTCCATGTCATTCCCTGATAATCCATCAATCATCAAGCCCCCATTCATTTTCTACAATGTTTTCAAAAAAAGAAATTTGATGTACAATTTGCTAAATTTTTAGAAAATTTCAAGAAAATTCATATAAGTATTCCTTTTGTAGATGCTTTGGAACAGATGTCGAACTAAGCCAAATTCATGAAGGAGGTGATGTCAAAGAAGAGTAAGCTGGAAGAGTATGAAACAGTGAAGTTGACAGAGGAATGCAGTGCTATTCTCTAGAAGAAATTACCTTAGAAGAGAAAAAATCCGGGCAGTTTCACTATTCCCTGCACTATTGGAGGCTCCTCTTTTGAAAAAGCACTATGTGATCTTGGAGCAAGCATCAACCTGATACCCTTATCAGATTTCAAGAAGTTGGGACTTGGGGAGGTAAAATTGACAATAGTAACACTGCAACTAGTTGATTGATCACTCACATATCCACGAGGGATCATTGAAGATGTTTTGGTTAAAGTTGACAAATTTATCTTCCCAGCTGACTTTGTTGTGTTGGACATGGAGGAATATCAGGAAATTCCATTAATTTTAGGTAGGCCGTTTTTAGCAACAGGAAGAGCCTTGGTTGATGTACTAAGAGGTCGTTTGACATTGAGAGTGAATGATGAG